CCTCACATTTTCGGGATATTGTATATAATTGTTCTATTATTGCAGTGGTTACAATTTTATCCTCAGTTCTGGCTTAAACGATCCATTTTGTTGTGTTATTTGATATTTATGAGTTTAAATTTCATCCCTGTCGCTTAGATCCGATTTTTCCACTATTCACCCATTATACTGCATTTTTAATCTGTACTCAAATTTGTTTAAATTTCTAGGAAGAGGAGGATGCTCGGGTGATGCTGGGTCTCGCAGTTGATTGTTGTCCTACGTCCAGCGAGCTATGGCTTGCTCTATCTCGTCTCGAAACTTATGAACAGGCCCGTGTTGTACTAAACAAAGCTCGCGAGAATATCCCTACGGATCGTCAAATATGGTTTGCTGCTGCCAAGTTAGAGGAAGCGCAAGGAAATTACGCGATGGTGAGCAAGATTATTGACCGTGGTGTTTCTTCACTTCAAGCGAATATGGTGGAAATAAACCGAGATCTCTGGATTAAAGACGCAGAAGATTGTGAGCGGGCTAAAAGTATTCATACTGCGCAAGCCATTATGTGAGTTTCGCACCGTTTATCAATGATTATTTATAGAAATTTAATGCTGAATAGGTAATGTGATTTAAGGATTACTAGTTGATTTTTCCCATAATGAGATGAGTGAGACTCACTATGCTTTTGAATTTCGCATAACCTTACTTTCCAAACGGCTATCTTATCCAGAGTGGACTGCAGCTTTGACCTTTCCTAGGTCTCATCAGCACCCTCAGAGTAATACCATACCGGGTCGGTAATATCTTGGCGACTTTACTATTCCACTCCACTACATGACCCTGTAGTATAGTCTTTATACCACCTTAGATGATCTAGTAAGATTAAGCTATTATTTAAGAACTAATGACTATTTCGAAAACTACACAGAAAATCTATTGTTGAACGTTCACTTTCTGACATTAATGGCATGATTACAAATTAAATGAGTAAAATAGAATATATGAAGACCAAAATGTTGTGGCCTCTGTTATGGTCGCACAAAAAACATACGGGCCGTGAAGAGCCGATGGCAGAACGGGGACTATGAAAGAGCAGTAGGATGATGAAAGATTCACAAAAGTGGATCGGAGGCCCGAGTCGGATAAGCCCATCGAAAGAGAGGGGTATATAGCAAGTGTGATGAGGCCAAACTAGGTTTGCCACAAAAGGGCACACATTTTGACTATTGCAATGTTGAAAAGTGATAAATTGTGATATGGCAGCAGTGTGATAAGAATGTAAAGAGTAGATAGATAGGCCTGGACAGTAAGAGCAATGATAGTGTAACCGTTTTCGGCAAAACGGTTGTTGAGGGATTGACTTAACTTGTATCTTTGACGAGTTCGTAGCTTGGTGCGGAGACTGGGAAAGCTCAACGAAGATGCCACCGAAACGTTTGAGAATGTATCAAGTCCACTGTCAAATGCTGGGAATCATGACAACTACTATGTCAGACGACTTCGGACTATGTGCGTTCTACATAGTCACCCTGACAACAAGACCAAGTTTCGACGAGGTTAACCCACTTTTAAATGAGTAAACTCTAAAACTATCAGTATCACTTTTATAGGAACTTATTCAACTTGACTCGCCTCATGTGAGCAATCAGGCCTTAGATCTTATTAATGTTGATACTAAAACCTAGGCTATGCCGAAATTCCAATCTACTCTAAACGACAAACTATTTTGGTAGAGGAAGCTGAGTAAAATACAATGCCTCGTGATGCCTTATACTTATTTGATTTTGGGAAACTAAACTATAAATGATTTTTTGGTCTAATATCACTCAATTTTGTTAAATTTGTTGCTTAATCCATTTGCATTTGTTTCTATATCAATATTTATATATAATTTGAAATACAAAGAGTAACTGGGTTTCGATGAATTTCCTACGAAAACATTGTTGGGGAGGCCTTTATTTCATATGAAAGTAAATGAAGAAACGATTCGAACAACGGTCTCATCAGAAATCGAGGGCTGATTCCCGATGTACGGCAGCTGTTTGGCTTTAATACGACTTTCAGATTGACTTAGGCCACGAGACATCATCCTTCATTTCGAGTGAAAACGGGCTGAGCCCATCCTATGATGGAAATCATCAGATCTGCAACTCACCCTTATAAAAGTCTCACGTTAGCATTAGGTAAATAAGACTATCCCGCTCTATCGTACGCCTTATATACTTGAATAAAAAACAAGGTGCAGACATTTGTAAATATAGAGATCACGTAAGGAATTTGGTTGATTATAGTGTACATACATAGATTTCCTGACGTATCCGTGATTAGCACTCATTTTACCCTTTACGGGAAGTTTTATTAACATACACATTAACTTGCGGTGGGATCTGGCTTACCTCCTATCTTGGCTAATAATTATATGGTCAAAATTAAGGAACAGTTTCCGAAAGAGGCAATACTGACTTTCCAATTTGGGGCCAGATACATGGATGATTATTTTTTTAATCTGGCCTCATTGTGAGGCTGCTTTTACTTAACTAACCTGAAAGGAACATTAGGTTCACAAGGGAAATAGAACAGGTTAGTTCATCTTCTTAGGTGTTCTGGTAATTAGAGAAGATGAGTTAGGAAGAGACGTTTATAGGACGCCACCATACATTGTCTTTTTCCATAATTTTCTTACCGATCATACTTGCAAAACTAAGGTTGGAATCCTAAAGTTTGATTATTAGGAATATGAGACTAGGGGATAGTAACCATTTGACAGAAGATTTGGAACGGCTGAAAGACTTTTAGTTAATCTAAAGTATTTACCATGATTATGTGCTCTGCTTCGCACTACCGTATAGAATATCCCAGCCTTGTGGGGTGCCTTGTACATAAGTCGGGAAGTTACAGGTGAGGATCTCTATGTGGGAAAACCCAGGCGGTAGTAGAGTGTGGTGTTATGCAAGCCGGCAATGTTCAGTCACATATGGTAACGACGGCAAGGAGGGTCATTTGAGGGAGTTTCTGACTCTTGTGCACTTCTGATGCCACGTTCTGATTGGTTCAACGGAGAGGCTCGATTCGGTGACTAGGTTCGTCTAATCCTTGTGGTACATAATGCTGGTGAGTCATGGTCCGCTTGGTGTTGTATAAGTCGAGGGATAACCGTATGTAGCCAAAGTAATTGTGGAGTAAAAGTCACTACAGATTCACTCCTGGAAATTAATTATATTTTTGGTCTGATTGATTATACTGTTTCTTTATTGAGGAATAGTTTTTCAGACGGAGACTATTTAGTCAAATATAGACAAGCTGAGACCTTTTCTCAAGTCTTAATTTTGTCATCAGGCTTTCTTTAAATTAGATAGACGAGCTAGTAAGAAAGGGGGGGTATAAAAACAGTGTTTAAAGAGGCCCTCACACTATCTTTGATCATGCCATCTTTTGGAGAGAAATATGATTCACTGTAGAGATCCGGCTGCTACAGGATCGTTTACTTCTGTGTCGGCCATATGTTCGGGAAACATGTCGGCCTATTCGCTAAAGATTAGGAGGACATTAAAATATAGAGGTTATTGACATTGCTAGATTGGAGAATACGTTAAATGTGAATAATGGTGGTAGACAGTTGATTTTAATATTGAAGGATAGAGAGAATGTTGAGCCGCCATACAAAAGAAGGTGATTCATCTTTTAAGCTCAATGATGGTTCTAACTTTACTTACACTCGTCCAACATGTTAGATTAAGCTCCTCAACCAAAAAAGATGTACGAGATTACGCAGCCCCATTCATCCTTTTCATTGGGTGGTTAAACCTTAATCACCCTAATAAGTGGATTG